AGTACCGGAGAAGGGGAGTGAAAGAATACTGTCACACAGTGTCACAGTACGGTACCTGGCTGCAGCTGTCTGGAGCTCTCCACTCTGATGCTGTCCGGGGAGCCACCAATCAGAAGTTCCCTCACCTCAGCTGACCTCACTTCGACCCCACTGGCCATGCCACGCTGTGCCTGCTGGGAAATTTAGTTTTCAGCGGCAGACGGGTGTGGGTGCGAGCGGGTGGGCGGTAGGGAGCTGTGGCCAGTAAGCTTTTTGCGGTCCTTATATGTTTTCTAAGACAAGCTGCACCTTGAATTTTACACTCAGACCCCTTGCACATGTATTGCTGCAACCAAGCAGCCAGCAAGGGGTCTGAGTGTAAAATTCAATGAAACGTGCAACAACCCACCAAAATAAGACCTAGCGCTATCTTCAGGGATTTCTGTAATATCAGACCTACCACCGAACTAGGTCTTACTTTCGGGGTAGGTCTTACTTTCGGGGAAATGTACTGATCTTTATTCAGATGTTTGTTGTGCTTACAAAACTACAAGTATTATGAAAAACAGAACATAATTCTTTAGTGTAAAGATTGCTAGTAAAAATGCTGTTTTTTGTTTTAATGCATTAGTTCAGAACACTGTAATTATGTACTTAATTTCTTTTTAGGCAATAATGTTTTGGGTGGTGGACAGTCTAATAATGAGGAAATACAAGAGAATAAAAGTGGATCATCACTGTGAGAACAGCACCGACATGTTACCAGCAATAAAAGATGATGAAAGCCAGGTGAAAAATGAACTGACCTGAGGACAATGTTCCATCATACTAACAATTAGTTGACATTTACCCTTTATGCAAATACTTCAGCAACTGATTACTTCTCAGGAATATGAGAATGTGAGGTGATTCCAAAAATGCCATGGAAGGGAAAAAAATGATTTAGGTGGTAGGCCTGGTATTGAGCACAATCTATGTACAACAGGTTGACTTTACCAACTCTGGAATGCACTGTTTGTGGTGTGAACCGGCCCTTACTGGCAACAATCAATTGCCCCAAGTTTTAACTTTCATATGAGGAACCCACTACCTTTCGATATTGGTTTTCTAAAGCAGTCAAATATGCCTCAGTTTATTCAACATAGGCATTAGAATTTTTTAATCAAAACAATTACAAGTTACAAATTCCCCAACTCCAAAATCTACTACCTATAGATAAAACAATACCTTCACTCTATACTTTGCAACAAAACCACATCCCCATTAATGTTAAGAGGCTTTGAAGAATAAATAATCACTAATCCACAGGCCTCATCTCAGCCTTGTATAAAGATCTTACCCTCTTAGTACCTGTTCGCTCAAAGCGAAGTGTGACAAAATTCTCAACACAAGAAATCCCATTCATTTATACGGTCCCTGTTCACACCTGAGAGTTTTGTCGCAAGCTGTAGAACGCCGAATGCTGGAAAAGGTGCATGGGCTTCCTTTGGGCAGATTACAGCACGGTTGGCCGCATAGACTTCAATGGAAGCGCCTTGCACATTTCTGTGCGCACGTTTGCTCATTCACAGCAATGCATTCCAATCTGCTCAGTAAAACGCTCATCTTGGTATATGCATGTCTAATGCTTGAAAAAATGTGCAAATGTGGGAAGAATTTGCAGTAAGGCTGATGCCTAGGTGTGAATGGAGACTTAATACATAATTAAATGTTTGAGAGATTGGAAAGGCATAAATGGGATAACATATGACTGAATGTCACCAAAAGATCCCCTAATACCATAGCCTTGGAAAATTCTTATAAAGCCCTTATGCAGTGTTAAACCTCAGATAGAATTTCAAAGTACACTCCTACTACCTCTCCACAATGTTTCAGGGTTGTGCCTCTCAGGGTACCATGTTCCACATCTGGTGGGAATGCCTTAAAGGAGAACTATGAGGTGAGTGATTTCCACTCATCCTCATAGTTAGAGCCGACCTGTGACAAAGAAGCTTTCACAGTTCGGCTCTATCGATTGGGAAGTGAGCAGAAACATGCACCAATCCGCTCACTTCCCGATCGCCTCCCTGCAGTGAGCAGTGACTGTTGGTCACCGCTCCCCGCAGGGATTCTCCCCTCTCCGATCCTCCAGCGCTGAGTGGAGGAACAAGCTGGGGAGGAGGCGGGCACAGCTGGCTCTCCCTCTAGATAGGCAGAGCCAGCTATCACTCATGCAGCTTGGTGAACCCAGACAGTATTGTCGGGATCCGTCCCGGCTGCGGCGCTCTCAATATATCGCAATAGCCCTCGATATACTGAGCTTTAGGGTCACGGGAGGACATATACTAACCTCCTTCCGTGACCCAAAGCGAACTATGGGGAAAAAACACTCTAGACAACGATAGGCTTGTGAGCATACTCAAGAGCAAATAATAAATGTTGTCACCTTGAAGCGATTACTTACTGAGGGCTTTCATAAAAACCTACTAGGTGTCTAAGGCAGAGTTTCTTAACCTTTTTTCAGTCATGGAACCCCTTAAAGTATGCAAGATCTTGAGGCACCCCAGTCTAAAGTGTAAAAACTGTGAATGTGAAAATGACATATGATGTTCCCCAAAATGTATACAAGACCTCTATCCTAGATTGGATTTTAAGAAGGCAAGGGGAGTCCCTCCCCCTTCCCAATCAGAGCCCCACACCCTTTTTCATCAAGAGCCCTCTTTCACATCGCATGCTCCATTCCCTGTTGATATCAAAGTCCTACTTTATAATCTCTCTCACAGTGTGGCAGCATGGTAGATGGCTGTAGGTGGAGCAGGTCTTCTGGACCACTGTTCTCATCTGAATGCTAATAGAGGTTCTGGATACATTAGCATAATGTGTTTTCGTGGTGTCTGGTTCACCTGCACCATGGAAATGTGTGATGTTGCGTGAAAATTTTAAGTCACCCCCGACAAAGCCAGAGAGCACCCAAGCACACTGAGCTGTTCTAAGGTAAGGTACTTGCCTGAAACTCTTCATGGCCTGCACTATTACTTATTTTTACCTCTTTTTTTTTTTTTCTGTCACTAACATTATATAATGATGTCACATGCTAGAAGTGTATGTTTGATTTTTGATTTGTTTCCTAATATTTGTCTTGCGAGGAAATTGTCCTTTATCTTTCTGAATGAGTTGAAAATTCACTTTGTATAGAATACCCATTCACATGCAAGGAAAATTAAAAAAAACACATAATTGGATGATGGCAGGGAGTAGAGCTTCACCTCATTCGCTAAGCTAAGGGAAAATCCCCTTTGCTCAGTAAACAGCCAATTTGCCTTTAGTAAATCACGCCAGTTTTTCTCTCAACTAAATGTGAATGATGCTTTGTATAACTACCATGTGTTCTATATCTATATATCTTGTATTGGAAATGCATTCCCTTCAGTTTTGTTTTTCTTTGCAAAACAAATTCATAAAATTCATGCAAATGAAGAAATCCTACACCCAAATTAAATTATATTACAGTAACCAGTTTCGTAGATCGGCTTGTTTACAAACTTATAAAGTATCCAAGTTGTGTTTTAATGGATTATCTGGACACATGATGACTGGGAACAGGTGCTGTACGCAAGACGGCCAAGAAATAATGAGTCACTAATATGCATGTTGCTGCCTGAAAGACATTCTACTTCTTACCAAGTTCCCTAGAATCTCATTACAATATTCCAAAAAGATGCATTTGCAACAGATTTTATTGTATCAAGCCTCATTAGAGTGTAAGAAATGCTTTATAAGGGCTGGTGCACATGGCACCTCCCTTCATTTTCTCCTTTTTGTTCTCCATGAAAAACAAAATAAAGGCTAAGCATACAAAGAGCCTAATATAATACTGCAGACTCTGAATCCATTGATGCTAGGAAAGCAGTGCACAGATCTCCAAGTAGGATATGTACTATCTTCATTCATCCTTAGCCCAACGTCTGTTTGCTTGTAATTAAAAGTCATTTTTATCATAGTTGACAATCAGTAAACCTGATTAAAAAAAAAAGTAAAAAGCAGGCATTAGAGGTATTTTGTTAGCTACACTTACTTGCAGCCCTCAAAACTAAGGAACCAATTTGCAAAGAACAATTTCCTAATTTGATGCTAACCTCAGAGCATATGGTCTTACTCCATCTCTCAATGCCACCATATGAATGTATATATTTATATTGAGCGTCCTTCCCCAGGTTCTAAGGCTGGGCACACACCTTACAACCATCGCAAGACTTTTGTCTTGCGATGGTTGTAAATTACTTTAAAAAAACGTACGATCTGCCTATCTTGCATAGGCAGATCGTACTTGCGATGATCGCAAGCCACGCCCCCAGAGGGCGGGCTTCCGATGACCGCAATGCCGAATGAGCAGTGTCCGCTTGCCCACACCGGCCCGTACGGCTTTTATCGTACGGACATGCCACAAACCCGCCGAACATCTTACCATGCTCGGCGGGTTTTCGAACATGTCCATAAGTTTAAAGTCGTGCAACCTTACAGTAGTAGAGGTCGCACGGCTTCCACACACCTTACGATAATCGTACGATCGCGGTATTTCCCGCGATTATCGTACGATTATCGTAAGGTGTGTGGGGACCTTAAGACTCCCTTTATGATGGGTGTACCAACAATTATGATAGGTTTAGTTTAGCATTGCATTTAGCTTTGCTGTGTAGCCTCTTGTTCTACATAATAATCATTTGGAATTGTCAGACATTATTGCATTTTTTTTTCTATGCAAGAATGCACCCACCCAATACTACTGGTTTTTTTTTTTTATCTGTTCATATATATACATACACAAAA